TCTCTCTCTCTCTCTCTCCCTTTCTCTCTCTCTCTCTCTCACTCACTCACTCACTCACTCACTATATATGTGTGTGTGTGTGTTTTATTTGTGCATAAAAGTTGTATTTATTTTTAACATATTATAATACATATTTTTTATTTGATATGAATGATTTGGGAGATAAAGAATAAAAAAAAAGAGTAAAGTTTTGGTTAGTTGTGTAAATATATAAGCTTGGGTGGTATGTTAATAGATGTCCATTTTCATTGTTATATTAATTTGCTCTAGAAACAAACAAACCAATAGATTCAACTTTAATTATAATTTCAGCGTCAAGGTATACCTATTCTATCTATCAAAGCATCGGTCACTTAATTTCTTTGTTCTCATCCACCCGGCCGGCCTTTGTCTAGACATTTACATATCTAACCTCAAAATTATATATAAGCAATTATATTCTTTAAATACATGGAGCAATTATATTCTTTAAATACATGGAGCAATTATATTCTTTAAATACATGGAGCAATTATATTCTTTAAATACATGGAGCAATTATATTCTTTAAATACATGGAGCAATTATATTCTTTAAATACATGGAGCAATTATATTCTTTAAATACATGGAGCAATTATATTCTTTAAATACATGGAGCAATTATATTCTTTAAATACATGGAGCAATTATATTCTTTAAATACATGGAGCAATTATATTCTTTAAATACATGGAGCAATTATATTCTTTAAATACATGGAGCAATTATATTCTTTAAATACATGGAGCAATTATATTCTTTAAATACATGGAGCAATTATATTCTTTAAATACATGGAGCAATTATATTCTTTAAATACATGGAGCAATTATATTCTTTAAATACATGGAGCAATTATATTCTTTAAATACATGGAGCAATTATATTCTTTAAATACATGGAGCAATTATATTCTTTAAATACATGGAGCAATTATATTCTTTAAATACATGGAGCAATTATATTCTTTAAATACATGGAGCAATTATATTCTTTAAATACATGGAGCAATTATATTCTTTAAATACATGGAGCAATTATATTCTTTAAATACATGGAGCAATTATATTCTTTAAATACATGGAGCAATTATATTCTTTAAATACATGGAGCAATTATATTCTTTAAATACATGGAGCAATTATATTCTTTAAATACATGGAGCAATTATATTCTTTAAATACATGGAGCAATTATATTCTTTAAATACATGGAGCAATTATATTCTTTAAATACATGGAGCAATTATATTCTTTAAATACATGGAGCAATTATATTCTTTAAATACATGGAGCAATTATATTCTTTAAATACATGGAGCAATTATATTCTTTAAATACATGGAGCAATTATATTCTTTAAATACATGGAGCAATTATATTCTTTAAATACATGGAGCAATTATATTCTTTAAATACATGGAGCAATTATATTCTTTAAATACATGGAGCAATTATATTCTTTAAATACATGGAGCAATTATATTCTTTAAATACATGGAGCAATTATATTCTTTAAATACATGGAGCAATTATATTCTTTAAATACATGGAGCAATTATATTCTTTAAATACATGGAGCAATTATATTCTTTAAATACATGGAGCAATTATATTCTTTAAATACATGGAGCAATTATATTCTTTAAATACATGGAGCAATTATATTCTTTAAATACATGGAGCAATTATATTCTTTAAATACATGGAGCAATTATTTTCGTTAATTATGATAATATAATAATTCCATAAAATTACTCTGGTAAAATGGGAAGTTTTAAGGTAGTTTTGACTTTTTAGGCTTCCTTCCGCTTTCAAGTGCCGAGTATGGTTTACAACTTCACAGCCCTCTCTGGTTCCTGAAGAGATCAGGGTTCTATATATTCTTGAATCTTCATGATTTCGTATTGCTTCGAGTTTTCGATCGCGGATTGAGATGAAATTGGCGGCTCTGCTGACTTCAGCGGGAATAAACATCGGCGTTTGTGCTCTGCTGTTGTCTCTGTACTCGATCTTGAGGAAGCAGCCGGGGAATGCTAGTGTTTACTTTGGGCGGCGGCTAGCGGAGGAGAGGAGTCGACGGCTGAGTTCGTTTATTCTGGAACGGCTGGTGCCGTCGCCGAGATGGATGGTGCAGGCGTGGGGGTACAAGGAGGAGGAGATACTTGATATTGCTGGGTTGGATGCGGTGGTGTTCATTAGGATTATTGTGTTCAGGTAAGTTGAGGGATGGAAATCTGTTTTGACTTCTTTGACACGATATTGGAATTGGTATTTTGCTTAAACTGTAGACTTTGAGACTGTGGAATGGTTTATGTTACCTTTTCCACGGTTCTGCTTTGAGACTGTTTAAATTGAGAGATTTGGTTTGGAAGTATTGCAAATTTGCAAGGCTTATTGAATTATATTAGTTTTATTCCGGAGTTGTTAAAACTAGGCTTAAGCAGAAGAAACGACTGAAAGTGCTGAAAATATCGAAATTCAACTTAAACTATAGACTTATTCATCAAGGTCGTGCTTCAAGAATGCATTTTTTACATCAAGTTGGTATAAACGTCAATCTTGATTTAGTGTAAGTCTGAGTAGAACCCGAATCGTATTAAGTTTGGCAATGCATGAAGTCAACTTTTGACAACCAGTTTGGTTTTGAATCTTTCTTTTTTTTCTTCATCTCATTTGTATTCTATCATGAATATACATTTGAATCCTACAAGATTTTTTCCATGAGTTAATTTTGTAGGTGTTCATGTGTTATTCTTTTTTAGAGCCTAAATTTTTTTCTCAACTGTCTATTTCCATGTTGAAACCCTTAAAGCCTTTTGGATCGATTTGTGAATCTGCACACTATTAAAATTTGTTACAAAAGCTTTGTAAGATGATAATAATTTCTCATAAGCTATATATTTTTCAATTGGATGAACAATGCACGCTCGGATATCTTTCTTGTGTGCAATTGGTTAATTAAAGTCATCAACTATCGGTGTAAGAGAGTCATAAGATGAGGAATCAATATCATTACGATTAATTAGATGCAGGAGGACTTGATTCTGGCTCTCGACAATCCTAGGTCTACATAATATCCTCTACGTGCTCAGTGATTCTTCCTTTTTTTTTGTGTAGATACGAAGTTCTGGTCATTAGTGTCATGTTGAGGTGGAGTAGAGGCAATTGGGATTATTTTTTGTGACAGAGATTGGTTCTTCAAGTGGAGCTGGTTGAGGGATAGGATTTGATTGAGTTGAAATAAAAATGCCTTGAGTATCCTAAAAAAAAAAATTAAAATCTAATATTCCATCGCGTTCTTCCCTTGAATTTTATATTTGGGAAAATAAGATGCCTCTCGAAGAAGATGACATCCATGGAGTTGGATATTTTCCTATTGGTTGGAGAGTAGTATTTTGTGTCATTTTTTATTCTAGTAGTAATTGAGAAAAATGTAGAGACTTAGGATTAAGTTTAGTGCGTTGTTATTGTTGGATGTTAATGAAGACACAATAATAAACAATCCTAATGGTAAGTCAAAAGAAAGAGAACGGATGTGTGCGTAGGATTCCATGCGAACATTACGAAGAATTTAAAATTTTAGGATTCGATTAAGCATCATATTGATGAGATATGTGGCTGTGAGAATAATTTTACCTCAAATAATATTTCGGTACATGATTAAAGAGAATAATGGCTCAAGTAAGTGTCAATTTTTTTCTTTTAGCGACCACATTTTGTTGAGGGGTATCCATACAAGAATTTATATGAATTTGAATTTTTTTTTGGAATTGAGTGAGGATCATGGAATGAAATGATTGAAATATATTGCCTCTTTTAAATTTTTCTTTCATAAAGAATATTCATGTTATTCTTTTGTGAACATCTATGATTGATACAAACCATTTTTCTCCATTTATATCTTTTACTTGTGAGGGTTCCAATATATCATTGTGAATTGCAAAAAAAGGATGTGAAGGCTTGTATTGCTATTTAGAATATACATGTTTGATATGCTTTGCAAGTTGGCAAATTTCGCAATGAAAAAAAATTGAGTTTTTTATTCATAAAAATGTGAAAATATTTTTTTCATATACACAAAATTTAGATGACCAAGATGACAATAACTCAACATAACTTGACTTTCAACTAAAATACATTGAAAGAATTTGAACTAGACTCAGAAATACAACTTAATGAATGACTTTGCCTATTGATGAAGTTATTTTCATTGAGTAAGTATAGACTATCGTGCATCTCAGCGTTGCTAATCACATTTCTTGAATCCACCATAAAAAAAATCACAACAATTGGAATAAGATTTAGTCACACATTTTAGATAACGAGTGACTTTGTTGATTGAAAGTATGTTGCAGTTTAATTTTGGAACAAAAAAAAATAGTAGTGATGAAAATTTTTCGTGTATTCTATTGATGCAATTTATGTTATTGCTGAGAATGAATCATAAACCATTCAAACAGCGGGCTGATTTTTATAAGGGTTATAATTTTTAAAACATTGTTATCTCTCGTCATATAACATGAGGTTATGAAGTCAACTATCCAAATTTTTAATTTATTGTTTTGGACAATAAGAGTATGTGATAAGATATCTTAGTGTGCTAGCAGACAGATAGGTTATCTGATAGAAGATTGTGATACTTGTCTTGAACTAGAATTAGATATTCTCTGCAGTGCTTCAATTTGCTCTTGTAAATGAGTTGAATTTTGAATTATTGTTTGTTTTTACAACAATATTTGCATGGTTCTCTCTATTATATTCTTCATTAGATGGCTTTCAATCTGCAGTTTCATCATGTAATTTTCAACACTTTTCATTCGCATGACCAAGCTCTTTATAGTGGTTGCACCATGACCGTCCTTCCTGGACTTGTTATTCTGAGAGAAATTTTGAGTGTACAAGGTTGATCCTTCAACAGATGATGTGGTGTGGGTTTCTGTTATCATCAACTTCTTTTTGCTCTCCTCGCTTCGAACTTTATTAAAGGCCTCCCGAAAAGTAGGGAGGGGTTCATTTCTCATAATTCTCTCCTTGACTTCATCTAGGTCTTTGTTGAGACCAAGGAGGAATTTGATGGTCCTTTTTTGTTTAGTAATCCTTCTATGTAAGGCAAAATCATTGGGACATTTTTAGGAGTAAATCTCATATATGTCCAATTTCAAACAACAACGTGTGAGGGTGTTGAAATATTAAGTAACATTCAATTCTTCTTATCGTAGATCATGTAATTTGGTCTTAATCTCAAATAGTTTTGAGAAGTTTTCTGTGCTATAATAGGTTTCACGTGTAGCCTCTCATATCTCCTCAGTTGTACTATCACTACTAAAAAAAAGAATTTTCACAGCACTTTATACAGACATCAACAATGATAAGAACCCTTGTTTTGCTCTTTGCAACAGACTTTAAATCGCTGCAATTGCTAGTGCTGCAAAGGCGTTTAACAGCGGTTTTAAGTATTTTAATGTATTTTTTTTAATATTTTTAGCAGTGTTTTTTAAAAGTGTCGTTAATTAAGTGTTGCAAAAAACTTTTTATTAGCTGTGTATAAAGCAAGAAGTTTTCTCCTACCTCTATGGTCATGAAATTATAGAGCAAGAAGTTTTCTCCTACCTCTATGGTCATGAAATTTATTAACTATGACATGATCATGTGGTCATCAGTCTTTCAGGCCCGATATTTGGAATGTCACTTCTTGAGAAAATATTTTGCCTGTGAGATGTTTATTTTTCACTCTACCGTTGATGTGTACATAAAGACCATGTGGTCATCAGTCTTTCAGGCCTGATATTTGGAATGTCCCTTCTTGAGAAAATATTTTGCCTGTGAGATGCTTATTTTTCACTCTACCGTTGATGTGTACATAAAGACAGACAATGGCCACTGAAGAAAAATTTGGCCTTGCATATTATGGTTCATGACAAGATGAGTTATCAGGTGCACTAGAGGCTGAAGATGCGGGCTCGGATCTTGGGATAACTTTCGAAAAAGAAGATGGCGAGATGATGTCATGTTTGGCGCCATAATAAGATTGTGAAGCCCGAATCAAGAAGATCTGCTGCTTGGATGGAAGCGAGAAGAGGAACCTTAGCTTGATTGTTCGGCTGGACGAGCGAACAAGAACTTGAGAGAGATGTGAAACTCTTGGTTTTGGTGCGTTTGGCACTTGGCGGTAGGTGGTCGTGCCAACAACAAGTGAGATGGCAACTAGGGCAAGTTGAATTGCTCGCCACTTTGTCGAACTGAAAAGGAAGATTTCTCTATTTCAATCGACCCCTCTCGGATCCAAGAAGAAAGGAGAGAAGATGACTCGTGATGACCAAAGAGGTCGTGCTCGCGAGAAGTCACAGCTTGTAATGAAGAAACGATGACAAGAGATTGAACAGAACATCTGCAGAGCATTTTGTGGAAGGATGAAATGATCATTCAAGCGTTCTATGGAGCATTTGAACGGCTTTATGGAGATCAAACGAAACGTTCAAATGGAAGGGACGAGCAAGGACTGCAACTCGTGTGTTCAAGAGACAGAGTAGTTATTCGAACGATGTCTATTGCTAGTGCGTACGAGGGAGACAGAGCACTATTTGAACGAATTAGGTTGATGGCTTTGATACTATGCAAAAATATGGGAAAATATTTTTGTTTCTTTCTATCTTCAATGCATTCATCATATAACATATATATAATAATGAAAGGAGACAAAATAGGAATCCCACCAAATAGGAAAAATAAAAAAAGTAAATATGTAATAGAAGGAACCACAATTAGTGAAATATATTATGAGTTAAGGAAATAAATTTCTTCCTAATCAAATATGTGAATTGGCACTTTCCTACATAAACCTATGTCGATATAGTTATTTCATGTGAACTATGGATTGATTATAGCTGTTAGTCCTAAGGTTTTCAGAATGCACATTTACGGGATGAAGGAAGAGCTTTGAGAGGCAGGCTATTTGTTATGTTGATATTGGGTATCATATTCTTTTTATATGCTTGAGCTTCCATTAAGACATTTTCATGATTTAGAATAATTAGGTCTGAACCTTCTCTCCGCCCCTGCTATGAAGATGAGGTTAGGAGATGCATAATTTTTCTTATGCTCCAGTACATTCCTTCTTTCATTCGGTTTATACTTATTGTGGTGTGCAGCTGTCTACTGAGGAAGGTAAATTTATATTTCTTAGAGAATGCTTAAGTTATGTGAGGAGTAAGTATATTTTTTGCTGTGATGTTTTACCTCTGTAGAATGGCGTCTCAATTTTGAAGTATTTCTTATTATACTGATTATCTGTCATGGTTTTGCAGTGATCTTTATTATTGAATTACGCTTATGTTTTTATTTTCATTTCAATGTCATTATAAACCTTCATGCATGCGTTAACTCTATGGTTGATGTTTGTTGTATTTTTTCTTTGTTTGCAGTATGCGCATATTCTCTATTGCTGCAGTTGTTTGCGTGTTTGGTGTACTGCCTCTGAATTATTTTGGCCAGGAAATGGAACATGTTAATATTTCATCTGAATCCCTAGAAGTATTTACCATTGGAAACGTCCAGAGCAAGTCCAAATGGTAACTTCTAACACTTGAACTTAGTTGATAAGCACCATATTACTATATGCATTACCTCTTCTAATAATATATTTCTATCGTTTTTGTATTTAGCTTTTTTATACACGATTGTATTTAGCTTTTTTTATGCACGAAAGTCGTACCTTCTCCTAATTCCATGAACTTTTTAGTGTTCGTCATTCAACAACTGTGCCCACATTAGGTTTTTATGACTTTTAGTAAACTCACTTTTTTTATTAGAAATACTGCGGTTATATGGCTTCTTGCAGAATGCTTAATTATTATACTATGATCATCACTATTTCTTGACTTAATGAAATTTAATTACCAATCAGCTATGGCTTTCCTCGTCATTTTAGTTTCATTTTGTATTTCGACTGTAAGTGTTTATGAAGGATATGAACGAAGTTTCCTCTTTAATGCAGGTTTTGGGTCACTGTTTTGCGTTGTATA